ACGCACTGCTCAAGGAGGAGGGCAGCAGCGGCAGGACACAGAATCCCAGTCACAGCTCCTCGGACTTCACCACGCTGACCATCAAACGGGTCGTCCTGCCCGATTTCCTGCCCATGTCCAGTCCGATTTACAGCAATTGTCCAGCAAGTGGCATTAATCTTGGCATGGGCATGGGTGTTTCCACCGGCACGGATCACGATCTGTACAGCAGCGCCTATGTGACGGCGGGCAAGTACGCGGATTGTGTCTCCCTGAAGTCGAGGACTCCGCAACCGGATTACTTTCGAGTGCCCAGCATGGACGATGCCAGTCTGCAGTCTGTGCAAATGCGATCGACAGCGGTATCGGGATCGGGATCGGGTACGGGCACAAACGGAGGCGGTGGTCAGGGCAACGGCTGGTCAACCACCGTCAACAGCCGATCCTTTGTGGCCCCGCCAAACACGCAGAGCCTCACCACCGAACTTCCCGAGGAGGAGGACGAGCAGGAGCAGCTGTATCCCGGCTACGAGCTCAATCGCTATGCCAGGTGAGTCTAAGCTCTAAATATTATGAATTTTTCTGCAACTGCAACAGTAAGTCGAACCTCAATGATGGTTTAAGAATAAACCAAAGAGTGGATTTTAAAAATGTTGGTTCCAAAACCTGACCAATTTTCATTCGCAACATATTGAATTTGAAACTAACCGTTTTGAAAAGCATTAAACATTTTCCTGAAACCTTTAAATGAATTGTATTTTACTTTTTGATTGATATTTAATAATTATATATACTTTTTTTTAGTACTTATTTACAAACTTTGAAAGCAAAGTGCTTTTTATGTGTCTTTTTTATTTATTTAGTTTTGCCTTTAATTTTCCAAATATTATTAAATGTACATAATTTTTGTCCAGTGTTGACTGCACCGCCTTGCCGCCGCCTATGGAGAACAAGGTGTACGGATCGGCGGCCAGTTCGAGCAGCAAAAGCAGCGGGAGCAGTTTGCACCAGATAATCTTCACGGTGCGATTGGAGCCGAAGGGAGGATTGCTGGGCATCACTTTGGCCGGCAGCGAGGATATCACCAAGCCGATCACAATCAGTGGCCTTGTGGAGGGTGAGTCTATGCAAGTGTGAAGCACTAAATAAAAAGTAACTAAAGCAAATCCATATGAACAGGTGGCATTGCGCACAAGAATGGCCAAATCCATGTGGGTGACCAGCTGCTGGCCATCGATGAGCACTCGGTGCAGGGGATGCCCCTTTCGCATGCCACCAGCCTGCTGCAGAATCTCGGCGACCTGGTGGACCTGAAGATCCTGCGGAGTCACGATCTGGCCAATGGCAGCCATTTGCCGCAGACGCAGGCCATTTATGCCAAGGTGCAGCGGCGTCCGCGAAGTCCTTCGGCCAACACGGAGGGCAGCAAGGAGTCGGCCACTGGCAATGGCAGCAGCAGCAATGGAAATGGCAGCGGAAAACCGCGCGTTTTCCACGTCACTCTGTACAAGGACAAGGTGTACGATGACTATGGATTCTCGGTGTCGGACGGACTCTACGAACGGGGCGTCTTCATCAACAGGATTCGCAGCGGAGGTCCTGCCGATATGTGCGGTCTCCTCAAGCCCTTCGATCGCATTATGCAGGTGAGTCACTAATATTCCTTAACTATCCTATATAATAATTAATAATAAATGTATAATACAGGTAAATGAGATGAAGACGCAGGACTTTGATTGCTGTCTCACTGTTCCGCTAATTGCCGCCGCCGGCGATAAAATCGAAATGATCATGCAGCGCACCGAGTAGTGATCCTTAATGTGCGCCACATCCTTATGTTAAACTAGTTGTACGTTAAGCTAATCCTAAGTGCCATTGCTAGCCCATAATAATATTATATATCCCTGTAACCTCTGTCTACCGAACGAACCGGTTCCCAACAACAACAGCAACAACAACAACACCAACCTTCAAGGACAATACGCGCAAATTAGCCTGCCATAACCAAATAATGTCCTCTTTAAAATAGTTCTGCCATAATTCTACTTTAATTCTATGCTAAATTTGTTTTCTAGCAAATAAATAATCATACCGAAAGTTTGTTCGAAACTAAACAATCAAAAATTATGAGTAATTTCATTGATTAGGTAATTACTGCAAATGTCTAATCTATGGTTCTATGACCTATATATTTTTAAATGTATGCCAACAACATGATTAGAATTTGGCATTGGAACATTACTCGCGATCGCTTATTTGTTTCTTCATGTTTGTTTACAAACATATTGCAGTTTTCAGTTTTAGAAAATAATATGTTTATACGAGTGCTTAAATGGTGTGGTAATTTGATTTATAGAAATATGTAGCTTACCATTGATAGTGCAGATTTAAATATAGTTATCCCAAATTTGAACTTTTTCTTAATAGCAATTTTTCAATTCTCTAATTATTATATTTTTTTGTGTGTGTCATAAGTAATACTTATTCAAAATTATTACTGTATAAATATTTAATTAAAGTTTAAAATATTTTTAAATATACACATGTTAATGCTATGGGCAAGTTATCTTTTGTAACTTTGATTTAAAGAATGGTACTAAAACATTGTCTATTTTAAATGACTTTGTCGCCAAATACTATGAGCCTTCTATAGTAAACCCGTACTTTACACTTTGATCTGGCACTGATCTATGTAAACAATAATCCCCTTGGGGGCTTATGTCAATGAGAGCGATTGCAGCGATTGTTATTCCATGTTCTGGATTGTGTATTTCATTTGCCATTTGCAATACTACTTGTAATCTATATGCCCCATGTAATTCCCGTTGTAAACAAAATATTTTTACACTTTCCAGCAACAAGTGGGCGTGGCATGTGGCCCTACGATGACGTTGGACCCTGTCAAACGAAAATAGCAAAAATCTACATGTACATGTGCAAACACCTCCGTTGATTTGCAATGCAAGTGGATTCTTGAACCGGAATCGATTTTCGGAATCAAAGTTCGATTCTTATCGGGGATCGGGGGGCATAAGCTGTTGATTCTACACGGAAGTGGAACAATTAGTCATCTAAATATAGAGTTTTAAAGTAATTACAATTTGCAAGAGTTATCTTAATTGCTTTATACTTTTTACAAGGATATTTTTGCGAAAGGGCATGACTGGAGCTGACCAAGAAAGTCGTAAACAAAAACAAGAAAAAAGCAGAACAGAAAGCAGACTTTAAGATGTGATAACGCTTTGGAAAGGCCGCCTCTTGACGTCAATGGGCGATGGCAATATTCGAGATCCTGGTGGAATGGCGAGCGATCGAAAACCCGTAAACAAACACCTTCTCCGGACTTTGGACGCCTTGAAAGCGAAACGGGATTCTGCGAGATTCTGATAACGTTTGCCAATGGGAATATATATATATATATATTTATATGAACATGTTTATATTACTAACCAGACATTGACACCACCTGTCAGAGGCGGCGGGCTGAGGGCAGGGGCCCGTCGATTGACACAGTTTCTCAGGAATTTAATTTAGCCCCTACACACAGGAAAATAATAGCCTATATAAAATCAAAGCCTGTTGAAATCTCTGCAGATTTTTTATTGGGCTTACGAACCTATTAAGAAATTTGAATGTGGGATTAGACTAACAACATATTTTGATTTTGACAAACTTTGCAGGTCTTAATCTTAACAAGTTCTGTTTAATCTTAAATTTTTTTTAATAATATTATATTAAAATTTTGTATTAAAACATTTATCGCACAAATCTTAAAAAACACTTTTTATGTACGTTATTAAATATTTTTACTTAGATGATACCATTTAAACAAATAAGTTAATAGTAATTATATTTTACCAGGCTTTTAAAAAATCCTATAATATTTTAAAGGAGTCTTTAAAAGTTGAATAACACAAAACGCTTTTCGATGCAGATTTCATTTATTGTTATCTATGTATACTTTTATAACCTATTAAAATGCTTAAAAATGTGTAAGGTTATTTATTGGTTACAAAATAAAATTAGTTTCTTAAATTCAAAGGGTTGCGATAAGAAATAGCCATAAGTCAAAAATTCTGTCCTGTTCAAAAAGTAGAGCTTACATGTTTTTCTTTCTGTGCAGAACGGGTTGTGGGGCACAGCTGCTGATAGCCCAAGGGGGACTGCCTCAGGCTCTATTTCTGACCCTACATGGATCCTCCTTTCCGCCGCCCCCTTCCTTCAGAAAGATTGCTGAACGAACGCCTTCTTGGCGGTCACTTTGTTGTCCGTCGGCAGAGTTGTTCTCTTATCAAGAAGGTGCATCCAACAAAGAGCAACCCCGCCAGCTGGTGTACTTTGCATCTACACTGGGAGAAACGGACGGATTGAGCTTTATCAGCAGCTCAGGGCCTTTTCCTCTCTGTTCCACACAGTTTGCCGCAAGTCGCGTGCCGAAGCTCAGTGATCAGTGATGACTATATAGCTAAAATTGGTCATTGTTTTCAATATTAAATTGGCTAAAAGTAAATATTTGTTTTATGTTTAAAAAAGGTACAATAGAATTTGTAAAGCACATTAATCATTAATTTAGGGCAAGCTTTTAAGACCATTGTTCAAAATTTAAAAAAACTACTGTTCAAAATAGTATTTGTTTTATTTTTTTTTAATATAAGACCGACCAAGGCATTTCTCTATTTTTCACCTTTTTCCAACTGTCTTTCACACTTGACCTATAAAAGGTTAAAAATAACTGCTGTTCGAAATTGAATTTCTTTTAATTTCTTACAATTGGACAACATTTTAAGTGTTTTCGGCTTTTTCCAACTGTTTTTCCTGATTGACCTTTGAAAGGCAGCCTTATTATATTCCCGATATGTCGGAAAATCGTCGGAATAGCCAGCACTATCGCGGCCAAACGTCATCAACCAATGGCTTCGGCTGCAGCTTCGGATTCGGATGCAGCTTTCCGCCTCGTTTTCGTTTCGGTTTCGATTTCGATTTCTCGCCGTCCGTCTGACATAAAAATTGCGTGGGGCGCAGCTGATCCGCTCAGTGTTCAAACGGTTCCCAAGCGATTCAGATCGGCGGAGATATAGCAAAGTCCGAGTCGAGTGTAAATCAGAGATAGTCATTGTCGAAAAGCCGAGGGCCGCCAGAAACTAACGGCACACTCGAGACGAGAGACAGTCGATAAGATTAACGTCAAATTTAATTAAAAAATAACTAAAACTAACGAAGAGCCAGGCACAACAAACGATCCATCGATCGATCGATCTATTGCATCGTATCGTATCGTAACTCGAATATATAAGTCTTAGCCTTAGATAATCAGGAACAGCCAACTCGAGTGGCACTCGTTCAAGTGATTTGTGATTGTGGCCAAGCCCTGGGAAAAGTGTGTGTGATTTGAGTTGCACCATCTAGCACCATCTCAACAGGGATCCAAGATCCTTCATTAAAAGATGTACGTGGCCAACACTACTGGCGGCTTGATGCTGCAGACCATGCTGTATTTGGCCAATCACACCAGTCGTGCGGCCGTCAACACCCTGGTCGATCTGCCACCAGCACCCAAAAGTGGTAAGTAACACGATCCATGAGCGCCACTTTTGGCCACCGAATTGCACCACCAGCCAGGTTAACTAGAACATGTCCAAAGTGGCCCAAAAGTATAGCAGATCCCCGCTATGATAGCGGGCGGGAAAATAAAAGTTTTCTAACATTTTAATTTCTTTAATGCCAGAATAATAAAAAGGTTCAAAACTAGTTTGGCATATTTTTATTAAACTGCTTAAAAGGTAAATTCTACCTCAAAAATATTAATTTTATTCACATTTTTGAAGACAACCACATAAGCAAAAACTAATTATCCATAAGGTATTTGTATATTGCTTAACATCTTAGTTTAATTGCCCATTAAATATAAAATTAGGCCTCAAGATTGCCAAATATTCGTTGCTTAAGAGAACGCAATCAGTTGTGCTATTTTCTTGGCCGCAGCTGTGCGTTTTGGGCCCAGTTAGGGGCCACCAATTTGGGGTTTCGTCCGCCTTAAGTGGTTTGCTTGTTGGCTGTATGTCGAACAAACAGTTGCTGGCTCTTTAGTGGCTCAACAGCCAAAGATGCTGAGTGGCAGTAATCGGTGCGGCACATGGGGAAAGCTCTTCCAAGAAACCCGTGGCGATCACGATCACCTGTGCGCAATGGAAACACAGGTGGTGGTGGTTGTTGGTGGTCGCTCGATTTGGTTTGGAAATCAGGGCCTCATAGGCTAATGACGTGACTCGTTCGGTACGCTTCGCCATACAATATGCTAAGTGTATATAGTGGCTATCTAATCGAAAACTTCCGATACAAACGGAAAGCCAAAGAAGACCGCGATAAAAAATAGAGACGACAATGGCCGGTCATCCATGCACCAGTGGCCAAATCCAATATCCATTTCCGATCACGGCTCGTTGAGACATTTAATGTCTTAAGGGAAGATTTCAACTGGGCCCTCAAAGAATTGCAATGTCGTCTATCAAAGATTTTTATGGTTCGTTGAGCTTTCTACCAGACCGAAACAGTTCTAATTGAGATCTTTCAAAATCATCAAAGAATATTAAAAAAGGGCTATCTTCAATGCTTAGTTATAATAAATTTATTGCTGCAAATATTAAAAATGAGTACAAAATAATTGAATTTACTGTTTTTTTTTTTTACACAAAATGTACATAATTAAAATATTATTATTTGGCTCTGAATGTATCAACTAATCTTCGAATCTGGACACTACCTTTCAAATTGCCAACAAATTAAACGTTTATTTATAACGAAAATAAATTATTCCTGATAGATTTATGGTTCTTTTGGTGATTATCTCACTGATTATAATAGTTTTTATAGATGGTTAAGATTTCGAGTTAAGCGATTTTCCCCGGCAATCGAATAAGGTAAAGCTAGCACTATTCAGACCTAGTGATAGTTGGGCACTCCCTGGTAAATTTTAGTCAGCTTATCTGGGCTCAGGTGTTTGCCACGCTGATTTATAGACCAACTAGCCAACTAATAATCCTCCGATTGCTTTTTCTACTACCTTTTCAGACATCAACGAGGTGAAGTGCTTCGGGGTGTACGGCTGTTTTCCGATCAATGGGCCATGGAACACGGTGACACGGTCGATAAATGTGCATCCGCAGAAGCCATCGGAGATTGAGCCGCACTTCACGTTGCACTTGAGAAAGGAACTGGACCAGCCCAAGTACCTGGATCTCAATGATCCGGACAGCGTGCAGGGCATGGGCCTGGATGCCAAGGGCAAGATCTTCCTGCTGGTCCATGGCTATTTGGAATCGGGCGAGATTCCCTGGATGTGGGACATGGCGAGGGCGTTGCTGGCATACGAGCCGGAGGGTAAGGCCGCCGTGGTCCTGATCGATTGGGGCGGTGGTGCGAGTCCGCCGTATGTCCAGGCGGTCGCCAATATCCGGCTCGTGGGCGCAATCACCGCCCATGTGGTGCACATGCTGTACGAGGAGCTGCGTCTGCCAAATCTCGATAATGTGCACATCATTGGCCATTCGCTGGGTGCCCATCTATCCGGCTATGCGGGATATCATCTGCAGCACGACTTTGGCCTAAAGCCGGCCAGGATTACGGGCCTCGATCCGGCAGCTCCACTTTTCACGGACACCGATCCCATCGTGCGGCTGGACAAGACGGATGCCCATTTCGTGGACATCCTGCACACGGATGCCAATCCCCTGATGAAAGGCGGACTGGGCATTAATATGCGTCTCGGCCACGTGGACTTCTTCCCCAACGGAGGATTCGATAATCCCGGCTGCAACAAGAAGTTCCAGGATGTGGTGCAGAAGAAGACGCTGTTCCTGACCATGCAGGAGTTCCTCAGCTGCAATCACATCCGCAGTCAGCAGTATTTCACGGAGAGCATCGGTTCGCAGTGTCCCTTCCTCGGAATAACCTGTGATTCCTTTGAGGTGAGTAGCTGAACTTTGATTTGATATAATTCACAGAACGTTTAGGTGTAAACAATTATAAATTAAATGGGAATGTATGGTTTTCTAGTCAAAACTTAATAAATGCTATAAAATTTAGATTTTTGGAGAACTAATCTTTTAAAGAAAATAGGGGTCGGTTTCGGAACACTCTGTTTATGTTAAATAATATTCTAGCTAGAACCCAATATAAATATAAATATCTATTATTTTAAATAATGTAAAAAATAAGGTAAAAGGCTTGTAAGAATTAACTGAAAACAAATTTTATCAAGAATTTTTTTAAATTCTGAAGAATTTCCGACACAAAGAATTTTTTGAAGACTCTAAGATGTTTGAGTTTGCTCTAAAGAGTGATCCTAGTCTTGTTTAATTTAAAATCATAAATATTTTAATTAATCCCTTTTTTTCGCCACTTTCAGAGCTTCAAGGACACGAGGTGCACCAGCTGCGAGGAGCCGGGCCACACTTGTCTGCGAATGGGCTACCACAGCCAGGAGGATTACCAGGAGCAGGTGGATCTGGGCCAGCTGCAGCAGGGTGATTCACCCGGCGTCTTTTACCTGTGGACAGGTGACAGTAAGCCCTTCTGCCGGCTGCACTATAGGATTACGGTGCGAGTTTCCGGACATGATGAGAGTACGCTGCATGGCGGCGAGGTGGGCATCCTGTCCGTTCAGCTCCACGATGCGCTGCAGAAGAAGGCAAGCGGCAAGAGGGAGCGAGCCACCACGGAGATGATGAAATTCTCCCCGAAGGCCATGTACTTTGAGCCGGGCTACGAATACAAGGCCCTGGTGGCCGGACGGAATCTCCGGGAACCGGAATACGCCACCGTTAATTGGGAGTATCCCACAAATATACTGAATCCACTCACCTGGCGCATCCTTTCGGCGCCGCGAATTTACCTCGAGTACATCCTCATCGAGGCGATGGAGTCCAGCGAGCTCTATCTAAAATTGTGCCCCCAGCACGAGGGAGCCATTCTCACGGGAGCCGAAAATGTCCTGCGCTCCAGCTATTGCAAGGATTAATATCTATCAAATTAATTATGAACCTAAATTGGTAATTAATTATTTAATTGATTTGTATGTGGTTTGAGTAGCCTATTGATTATCAACCAGGGTAAAGTTTCAATATTTATCTTTTTTTCCTGGCTTATTCACTACCTACTTAAAAATGGCATAATCTTAATCACTTCAATTAACTAATTAATTATCTACTGAATTCTGAATTGTATGTAAACTATTTAATTAATTAATTGGCTAATTAATAGCAATTTAAATCATATAGCTAATTTAATTAGCCAATTAATTAAGCATTTAGTTATCACTTCCTTGGCTGGACTGCTTTATGTAGAAAATCAAGTCAAGCAGTGCAGGTTCGCATCCCCGCTTAGTTGTCTACACCATGTAAACGCTGGTGCGTGTCTGCACTATGACAACAGTTGAGATCGAAAAGTGTTCCCACTTTGAACTTTATAGCAACTGGCTGAGGAAGAACAGTTTGTATTTTATTATAGTATTTTAATAGTTCGCAAGCGAAGCAATCATCAACCGTTATTTATTTTATAAAATAATTTTTTTTCCATTTTTTTTTTTGAGTATATTAAATGTATTTGTAGTTATAGTACATTGATGTAGCCTAATTTAATGTAAATAAAAATACAAAAATATTAGAAAACTACGCTGCTTAAAAATCATTTTTAATATTTACAAATTATTTAGGTTGCTTAATTATAATTTTATAATTATAGGTTTTACTTAAGACTTAACATATTCTGAGGTGTACAAATTTGGTATTTAAATGAGTCCCACTTCTTGCGCCGAAAATTCGAGTTATACAGAACTCGAGTTTAGATAATTGCGATAAAAACCTTTGGTGACACAACAAAGTCCCCAGATTTGAATCTGCCTGCCTATAACTCAAATCAGCTGTGGATTCTAATGAATTATAAACACAAACACGAAACACTGTTGACTGGAGACGGGGGACATTCCATGGACATGGATCCCCAGTCTGCTGTTGATGTTAATATTTTAAATGTTTATCGGGGCAAATGTATCTATCGCATGCATGTGTATCTTTTACATATAATTGATATTATCTGCATTGATTCGACTCGTTTTCAACCTCGTTCACCGTCTCGATTTCGGTTTCTGTTTTCGGTTTTCGGTTTTCTGTCTCTGTTTCAGTTTCAGTTGAAGTTTCTGTTTCTGCGGCTGGGTCTTTGTTTTATGATCGAACATTTGGGCATTCCAATGCTTTCCGGGTAGCCCCAAAGCCTAAGACACTGCACACAAATAAATGTGTCCTTAAAAATTATTACTTTTAAGTAACGCCAAATTAATTATTGGTTTTTGGTGAACAATTAAACTCTACTTATTATTATTACTTCATCTTATATTTGATTTGAAATTAATATAGGAAATTGTATTTAAAAACAAAATATATTGCATATACAGAAAATAATACATAATAATAGCTTCTGTACTTGGCAAAAAGCATTGAAATATATTTTTTGAAGGTAGCTTGTAAGTTTATAATTAAAGTAACCTTAATTTTTGTATTGTGTGCAAATTCAAAAAAAAAATTTTTTTTCAGTGCATCTCGGTTCCAGTCTCAACCTCAAAATTAACCTGGCCCATAAATATGTTGACAGAGAAAGAAAGAGAGAGAGTGAGAGAGAGAGAGAGGGAGACAGTTGATGATCATGTTGACAATGTTTCGCTGGAGTTCATTTCATTCGTTTCCGAGAACTGAAATTGTTTGAAAACCTTTTCATGTTTTGACTTTCGTTGCTCCACCTGTATCCCCCCTCCCCCCTCTCCCAGCTCCTCCTGCTCCCACCAAATGTGTGTCCACTTATTCCCATGATATGCATTCATTAATAATGTTAATCGATTTGGGATAACTCTTCGATCTCGGCCACCGAATGTCCCGAATGTTCCGAATGTCATGGGGAATTACGGGCGAGCAAATGGCCAAGTGCCTCCCCTTTTATACGGTTGTTAAGTGCAGCTGCAATCCGTTAGCCATCCGCCTCTTAATTAGTTCACCTTCAGCCTTTAGCTTCCTCCTAAGTTCCTACTCCTTTTCTATTTCATTTTTTATGATTTTTCTCACATTTTCCCCTGACTTGTGGCATAAATCAGACGAGTGCGCCGGCTGAGGGACATCAAATGGGGCTCGGGCCTGGGCTCAAATCAAAATGTCATAATTTCAGCGGGGCAACATCAGCGACAATACGTCAACATCCCCGCCCCGGATTCTCTGATTTTCCATCAGATTTTTCACCCTTTCCCATGGACTATACAGATCCACCCACCCACTCTGTCATTTCGCCGTTTAATTAGTCGGACGCGCCGGCGTCGCAAACAAATCACATAATTATGATTGAGCGCAGCCAGCGCCAACTCTTTTTACTTTAAGAGGGGAAGTAAAGGGGAAAATCCCCCTGAGTTTTCCCCCGCTGCGGCCCATTTTGGGGTTTCCTTTATGGGCCGTCAGAGTCGCGTGCATAAATATAAATCAGGGCCGGCTCACAGCTGCCGTAATTGAATGCAAATGTCCATCCAAAAATACGATGGCTCTAAAGTGTTCCCCAACCACCCCCCACCCGTCTGATATATCTTTTATATATTTTCCATATAGTGCTAGAAGGCGACAATCTGCTCTAAATTATCACGTGTAGGTGCCGCCGTTGGTTTTTTTTTTCTTCGCCGCCCCCCCCCCACTTTTCCTGCGCTCCATTGTCTTTGCTAGCGATGCGTGGAAAACTAATTTCCCACTCCCTTTGGGATTTGGCCTCCCTCCATCCCGCTGGCATTTTCCGTGCGCCATTCATCTTGTGCATTTCTCTGATATTCATAATTCGTGGCGTGTGCGCCGAGTTTTCCCCTCACATCCATCCAATCCATTTCCCAGCTTCTCAGCTCCGCAGGAGGATGCAGAGTCGTCTCCTTTTGTCAGCTTGGTAAATTGCACCACGTGTTTTTGATAATGACGACATAATTACGCCAGAAGATGAAAAATAAAATATAAATAGTGAAGAGCATCTGCAAATGTAACGATTAGGCAATTATTCACAAATGTTACTACAACGGATCTGAAGAATTTGCTGAATTGATATACAAAAATTAAATTGTGTAACATTAGAAATGTTATTTATGAAAATTTGATTTTTGGTCACCTAAAAAATCGGTTTTTGTATCAAAACCTCGGGAAGAAATGGTCACCAGATGGAATGTCATACATCGGCGTTTTCGTTATGAATTTGCCCATCAAATGGCATTCACAGCTAAAAATTGTTCAATTTTCTAAATTTTTGCAAAAAATGATGATGTACCCCCTTATAAAAAATGCAAAAATTGGTCATAACGTTAATTTTCCAAAAGTCTGTTTTGAAAAATCGATTTTTCATATTAAAACCAAACAAATGGCTCCGATTGTAGATGGGTAGTATAGGTTGCCAGCTGTCCAAAACAGTCACTCTTATGGCTCTACCTCTAATTTTGGCCAAGTTACAACGAAAGGACGCTTTAGGAATTTTTTATTGGTTAAATCTCCAAAAACCCAAAAAAAGCACCTAAAATATCGGTTTTTGTATCAAAACCTTGGGAAAAAATGGCCACCAGATGGAATGTCATACATCGGCGAATTCGTCATTAAATTGCCAATCAAATGGCATTCTCAGTCAGCCCAAATTTTCGCAAAAAATGATGATGTACCCCCTTATCAAAAATTGGTCATAAAGTTGATTTTTCATAAAACCGATTTTGAAAAATCATTTTTTTTTATCAAAACAAAATTAATTGTTCTAAACCGATTGTGGGTGGGTAGTATAGGTCGCCAGCTGTTCAAAACAATCACTGTCATGGCCATACCTCTAATTTTGGCCAAGATACAAGATTATGAGTTTTTAATGAATTAATTAAGTAATTTAAAAAATGACCTATAAATAAGTATTTTAAAATCGACCGGAAATTAATTAACGTCCAGTTACAAGATAAAAACACAAAAAGGGTGGTTTCTTTTGCTAAAAATCAGAGAAAAACTAAATAAGATTTTATTTATTTTATATATATTTTACTATAAAATTAAAAATGCAAATATTTTTAAAACGGCAAAAAAGCTGCCGTGATATTCGAATTCCGTTGTCGTTTTCCCTTTACTCCCTTTACTCCTTTTATATTTAGTTTGTCAACCCTCGCCGAAAGATCTAAACAAATGAAATGTCAAAATGCAAACAACAAACAAAAACAAAGGCGAAAAGGATAGTGGTTAATGGGTAATGGGGGAGGCGAATAAGGAGCGATAGCTGAAACCGCCCGCGGTCACTTAGAGCACTAATTTAAATATCATTAGTGAACAATTAAAACAAAGAAATGCCATTCGAAGCCATGCGACAAAGCCAGAAAACGGAATGCGGAAAACAGTAAACAGAAACAGAAAACAGAAAACAGAAGCCGCCAGCAAAGGACAATGCGACGCCATCGCAAGTCTCCTGTCACCGCCCATGAACCGCCTGCGGGGGGGGGGCGTGGCAGGACTCGGCGGAAGGATTCGGAGTCAGGAGCTACAAAAACTGGAGGGCGGGTGTGCATAAATGTCAACAAGAAAAACCCAAAACACTGAAGTCTGCTCGACAGGATTCGATCTCTTAATATCCTGCACTTTTTGGTGTTTTTGTATTGAAGAAGAAAATGCATATAGTAAAATTACATTTTTTTTATTATTTGGTGTTATAAAATTTGACTTAATTACTTTGCGAGGTTTTCATTGATTTCCTTAAATATATTCTGCTATTTTTTTTCCTTAAATATTTTCATTAAAAATATGTAGCAGTAATGCACGTTTCTCGACTTTAAAACTACTTTATACTTTTGATGTTATTTATTTTAAAAAAATCTAGGAAAATCTATTGTTAAAAATAGGACAATTTAATTTAATCATGAATAGAAGTATACCCTTTATTTTCCAGGGTATCTTTGTTGAAGCCCAAATCAAAGGGCGACAGGCGACAAAAATTTGTTTGTGGCTTTGCCAGAGTTGTGACAGCCCAGCCAAATGAAAAGGCTTCTTTTTCATGGGATGGGGATTGGTATAGGTAGCTATTGGTACTGGGAAGATGATGATTATTCGGAATGAGAATGGGCATGTGAATGGGCAGGTGTTGCGTCACGGATCCTGGTACTCTAGCTGGTCGCCCCATTTAATAGCATTTCAAATACCATTTGTCAGCGGGCGAAATGGGAATCGTGCCTTATCGTTGCGGGGCTACTGGCAGAAGGTCCTGCTTTCTGGTCCTTTTGCTTTTTTTTTTTGGGAAACCCATTTCCAAAGCACCCACTGAGAAAAAAAGGCAGCCACGTGGCCTTGCGCTGGCGGCCAAGTGCGCATCCTGGATGAGAACTCACATTTGGATGTGGTTGTGGATGTGGATGCGGATTCGTATTCGGTCACCTGATGATGCTTTTCCCAGGACTCAAAGGAGCAAAAGAGCATAAGAGCAAAAGAAAAATCCACCCACCCGAGGGTTGGCACAGGGTTTACTGGTGGTGATGGAATGAATGGCCGCGTAACATGATCCCTGCGTGCCTCGGCATAATTTGTTATTTTGGCCAACGCATTGTACTATATCCTTGTGCTGACGCTGATTATTTCCCGTTCGTCGTACTGCGTACTCTCCATTTACTCCACAAAATACACCTTCTTTTGTCGACACAATGCGATGCGATGCGAAGCGGCCGTCGAAGAAAATATCGATTACATTCGCTGAAAGTTTTCGCTCCGCCAAAACGCAGAAATAAAAACAAAATAAATAAATAAAAGGTGGAGACAAAAGAACCGCAGAACAAAGCAGGCAGCCAAACCACTCGGTTTTGGGTCCCAGCCCCCGCCAGAAAATAACCATAAATAAGGGTAATAAAAGTGATGCTCAGTTGTCGCTGCAGCAGCTGCATCTTCCAAGCCTCAGCTTCATCCTGAGCTCCAGCTTCAGCTCCCGATCCCGATCCCGATCCAGATCCAGATACGTCGCCGATTGCGAATAAATATCCCGCACTGCCAATAATCATAACATTAACTCACCCGATGGAGGGCCTAATGAGATCAGGGAACATCCTTTCGGGACCTGGGGACTTGTCATCCGGTCTCTCAGTGGATCTTTCATGCCAAGTCCCGAACTCAGAGACAAATATGGCATCCGCTTGTCAAGCCAATTTGGATACATCACTTGGTTCCAAGCTAAAGCTTTTGTGCATCAAATTAATTTTCAAAATTACAGTACACTTTTCACCTTATTAAAGGTAATTGAAATTCTGCCAAATTTTATTTCTAGGTTGTATAGCTTATAGTTTTTTGTAATGGTTCATCATTTCTAGGACTAACTTTTGCAGCTTTTTAAAAACGATTTCAACACTTTTGATCATTAAACATTTTACAGAATAGTTTCTTTCCTAAGGCAAAAATTTTAAATATTTATTAAGTCTATGGAGTTTTTTGTTTAATGTGTTTTTTATAATAAAATATATTAAAGAGCAATAAATTCTATTTTTAAAATGAAATATAGCAAAATATTTTATTGAAAACGTTTAAAGAATTTTTATCAATAAATAATCTACAGATATAAAAACATGATTGTGAATATTTACAAAATCATAATGGTTTCCGTTTTTAAATGTGTGTTTTAACCAAATTTGGTATGACTGAAATACTTTTTTCAAATTAAAATATGACAACAGAAGTAACTCTTGTTAACCCACAGATAATGCCAGTTTTGTCAGGCCCCTCTTGAAAAATAAACAATGCGAGGTGTTGCCTTTGGCTACTCTTGAATTTATTCAAACATTTCTTTTCACTTAAGCAATCTAGGATTATGTTGTACTTAAAACAAACTGTGGATAATCGTGGTAAATGTTAGGCATCGCATAATAGACATCGACATACATATATGTATATATATATAGGTATTAAAAAAACAATGTAAAGTTGGACTTGGAACGATCATCAATGGAATCTCTCTCTCATATTTTAAGCGATATATGTGTATAGTTCCTTTTTTGTGTTTCGTTTTTGCTTTGATCTAGGATCTGCTGCGAACTGTGAAACAATCGTATACGTTGAGTGGCCCGTGTAAAAGGAGCCGCCTGGCCAAATGCTCTTTTTTTTTGTTTGATTTTCGTTTTTTTTTTTCCATCCGGGATCTGGAAGTTGGCGAGCTCATTGTTCGATGGGCAAACAAAGGATGCATCGTGAGCGTCGAGGGGCGAGTTATTAAAAACAATATTCGAGGCTTAGCCGAAACGCCTGGATGGGCAGATATATATCGCAAATCGAGTCGAGTCGGGGTCGGAGTCGAAATGGGGAGTGGACTTATCTCGCATCTCCGCATTAACACTTTCGCACACACACACACACTCACGCTCTCGCAGACAAACACAGGCACACGGACATGGCACAAAATGGCCGCCAAGGAGCTATATATATATATATTCGTATATATATCTTGAATCTCCGGCAGACTTGGCACCCCACACAATACACACACTCCCCACATTCAGATGGGTCGATATTTGGATGACTGCGAAAACACAGGGGAATACACTTATACTGGAGGAAAGTCACTTATCTAGTTAAAGTCCCTTTTTTTACTCAGGAAAAACTAACTCTCAAGGAAATGAAATCCATTAAAGGTAAACTTTATTACACTATGTGTGTATTACCTTTAAATAAAAAACACAATTATAACAATCTTCAATTAAGGCAATAATAGCTGTTTAGGGACCAAAATAAAACGGATGATAGATTATTTCCCTAACAAAAACATATGCATTATTCGTCACCAAAATCGACCCATCCCAAGCCCCGGACCACGCCCCCTTACAACTTCTCGAAGGCGTTGGCATTGGTGAGCAGCTCGCGGGTCAATCGCCACACCTGTTTGGCGGCCTGCTCCAGAGCACTGGGCGACTTGCCCTTGAACATGTCCAGTCCAGGGAGGAAGTAGTGGGGACAGCGGCGGTACTGCAGGCAGGATATCAGCTGCAGGAAGATCCCGTTGATGCGGTCCGCAATGCAGCTCTCGTCCCACTCGAAGTCCCGCGGATGCTTCTCGCACTCGTAGAGCAGCAGGTTCTTTAAGTGGTACGCACTGATGGGATTGCCGGGCAGCTCCATGTGCCTGTCCCTCAGCGTCTTCAGCATGCTCAGACAACGCCGGCGACAGCCACCTAAAAGGATAATCAAATAATATGCATAAGCTTACGTTAATAATTAAGACACACACAAATAAGTATGACTACTCTTTATGAAATTATGTGACAAAAAAGAACTCTGTAAAATGCGTGATTTAAAATAATTGACAGTTTTATAATATCAACAATTAGCCCCAACAATCTGCGATAAATTTATGCAATAATTTTTTAAGCAAAAGATTTTCCTGTAATTTTCTCTGATTTCTTTACCTTGCAGAAGCCTGTTCTCGGCCTCGAAAAAGCTGAGGACCCAGGCATCGCCCTCCATGCTGGCCGCATTGTTGTTCTTGTTCTGCATGACTATGCTCTCCTTGGACAAGAGGTCGAATCCCTCGGTCTTGACCTCCGCCACGATATTGGGATGAGGCCAGGGTAGATGGGGCACCGGCCAGTGGGCCGCCGATCTCGGCCAGATGCCGGAACACTTGAAAGCGGGCGTGATCTGGACCACGAATCGCTCCCGAATGCGCAGCTTCACCTCGCTGGTGTCGCCCACCATTTTGACCAAGTCGCGGTAGACACTCTTGTCGCAGGCCTGGGCCACCAGCGTTTGGAATCGAGCCCGGATCTTCCGAGATGACAAGTAGCCGCTGGCCGTGATGAACTCCACCCACAGGGACATGGACCGCTTCCGGCCATCGCTCAGCTTCAGCACAGCACATCCTGGCAGGGTGCCATCGTCCACAAAGTTGAAGACGCCCATCTGATTTAGATAGAGAACTATCTCGAACTCATTCGGCGATATGACCTCCACGCCCTCGAATCTGTATCATAATATAAGGTATGATATATAACATTGAAAATGTAGGTTCAAATATTTTAAATGCCAAATATTTTTGAAACTTTTATAATAAAAGGTTTGACCCCTAAACCTTTAGTATACATTATTAAACTCTAATAAAAGGTTCATCCTTAAAAATATATACTTAAAAAACAAACACACATAAATAAGAATTTAATTGTAAAACCATAGATAGTTTATCTATATAAGCTTAAATACATTTATTTAATTAAGTTTAAATATAAAACTGATAGATTTTCTCGTTTAATCGAATCTAATAAGAGGCGATTGCACTTTGGGCCAAGTGGGAAACCCCGATGAGCATGACTTGACAGTTAACTGACAATGACGCTGCACTTTGATTGTAATGATCCCAATGGAGTGGAGTGGAGTGGAGTGGATGGGATTTAGTGGAGCGAGCAGGAGCCGCGATGACAGTTATCCGGGCACTGGAATTACGCAGATACTTTGCCTGAAAGGTCTGCGGTTTGCACCACTTTACATATCCAATCGATTGAGCATTACCAGTTTTGTTAGCTAACTCAGTTCCAAATTAGTTTTGTAAACATTTATAAAATAACTCTCTACAATTATAAAACAGATTTTTTAATCAATAGAATTTTGCTGATTTATTTACTTATTTCGCCAACGGTATTCATACCGTAACATTTGATACAACAAATCGAGAACTGACAAAAATATTAAAAGCCTTTGGTAATCGTTTAATTTGGAATGATATTTAAAAAAAAAACAAAGATTAATAGTTACTTAACATAAATTTTGCGGTAAGGTATTGTTATAATTTATCAAAAACGTCTAAAAGTCTGATGATGTATGTTTTAGGTTTTGTATTTTTAATTTATTTATTAAATTAACACAATAGCAAAAACGTTTTATTTATATTTAATTATATTTTTAGATCAGATCTTTATATTTGATGCCCTTAAATAAGAATACATAGTTTTATGATTAAACTGCTTAAATTATGATTAAAAAAATTCAAAATCAAAATAAATACTTTAGATCTGAGAAGACGGCACTTAAAAAGGGGTAAGTTGAGATTCTAATCAAAAGAAGGGATTTATAAACGCCTTGTTTTACAAATAGATTAATTAAGTATTAAATTAGTATTTAAAAAGTCAATTAAGGTAATTTACCTGCCATTGCACTCGACGAGGCTGGAGATGAAGCGCGGCTCCTGCAGCTCCACCTCCTTGAGGATGTCCTGGACGATCTTGCAGATCTCGCGGATGGCGGTGGCCGTCTTGAACATCCTGGCCTGGACTCGCTCCGCGCAGAATCGGTTCATCTGGTAGACCATGCGCGTCTGGGCGGCCATCATGTCCGGCGGCACCAGCATGGTATCTATCTCACTTTTCCGCGCTTGACTGCCAGTCAGTATCTGTATCTATGTCCGTGGTGCCAGTGCAAGTATCTGTATCTTTTCCACGGCGACACTTGGTCTGGCGGCCAACTTGAAAGCCAGCGGCGGCCAGCCAATTATGCGAAATTCGGGAGCGGGTCTCTTTTTTAAGCCGCTACAGAAACGGAAACAGAAACAGAAACCGAAACAGAACAAAGGAACAATTCAATTGTGAGTTACGGTGACAGCAGAGCAACAATGGGCACAAGTGGAGCACGACTGGCGGTACCGAGTACTGTATATGTATATCTGGATTTTGGATTTTGGCTTTTGGCTTTTGCCTCTTGAATTCGCGCGGCTGCAGTGGCCCGCAGATACAGTATCTGCAATGGCGAATCGCAGGCCGAATGATGATGCGTTGTGCTAAAAGGCGATACCGATGGCGATTTCGAGTACGAGTACAAAAACGACACCAAATCCGATTCCGAGTCTGAGTTTGAGTCCGCCAAGCGATTCCGATACTCGAGTCGCTCGCTGGCGTTGTAAATCTCGCGGATATTTACAGCTTCGGCAGATAAAAAGCGCTGAAAGTGCAGTTTGGCCGACTGCACGAGAGTATCTCGCAGTATCGCAGTATCGCAGTATCTCAGTATCTAACGAATCCGCCATCTCGTCTCGCCGCGTCTCGACGCCCATGAATGGCATTCAGATGCAGGCGGGCAGGGGGTTTCACACAGCCAGAGATACAGATACATGTCGGGACTGTCACGTGACAGGCGTCTCTGTCTCGTGCCACGCATTCCGACGCTTAAAAAATCGATGAGATACTCTACTCAGCGCCGCGTATCAGGCGTATCTACCAGATACACTCAAAGAAAAATAGATAAATATATTTTTAATTTGTATAAAACGGGTGAGCTTTCCTAAGAACATTTTAGGAAGCTTCAAAAAGTTGGTCGATTTTTTATTATATATTTTTAAAGCACATATAACTTTACTATTGTGTTAATGTGTTTTGCTAATATTGAAAACATTTGTAGCTAATTTACTGGGTGTTAATACAGGCAAATATATTTCTGCGAGTTATTTGTTTATACCTTTATCGTAAATTTTTAAATAGCAAACAATGGGACTCTCAAATACTTATCAAACTAAAAACAAAAAATTAACATACACAAATTTTGAATTAATATATACAAAACTAAACAATAGTAATGTGTTTTTAAAATTAAAAATATTTTAGTAATTCAATGTTATATTAGATTACTTTATATACAGCCTTTTTTTATATTTAATGGGGGGTTTTTAGATTAAATTTTCTCAGTGCGCACAAAAAACAAACACAAATCGAGCATAGAGATACGCTCTCTCTCGCCTTCGCATCTGTATGGGTGTATCTATGGGGTTGACTGGCTGTGTATCTGTGAGAGCGCTGCGATTCGATTGGTCCGCCGTGGCCTCGCCCCTTTTGTGGCCGTTACGCTGCGGCGCCCCCTTTGAAGTCGCTGCCTGTCGATGTGTGTATCTGTGTGCAAATTTAATTTGTTAAATACATTTCGGCCTGCCATCGCGTACAAGTTGTGTGCAATAATTTATCTGAAATGTGCACTCATTTAGCAAAGAGCAGCGAACAACGAACAACGAGCAACTGGCAACTGGCAACTGGCAACGGGCAGCCCTCGTCCATGTTCGCCGGCCGATATCTTTATATCTCGCGGATACACAGATACATTTACACTCATAAATATGTCGCGTGGATTAATGTGCCAGTTGGCAATTTCTGACAGCCCTCGCAGTTCCAAGCGAGCAACTTCCTCTGCGTTCACTTTACCCCCACCAAAACATACATATATATATATATATATATATACATGTCTTATATACCCCGTTTTATATGGTACTGTATGGTAAAGTAGCGCACTTGATGGACATGTGGCAACATCAAAGTGCCCGTCGCCTCCTCCAATTAGACAAATCCCAGACGCAGCCACTAATTCGAGTGGAGGCTAAACACAATCCGAACACAATTGCCGACGACCAACAGCATTTTCTTCATAGGAAATGGGAAAAAGGGGTCAAGCATCCCATGTTGACGGAAGTATCTTAAGATTCGCTACAACGTACTCAACCAATCACATTTTTTTAATCACTTTGCAATTTCTGTTGTATTAAATTGGTATTGCGCTTTTAATCTTAAGTATCAAAAGTAACTTGCACTTTATAATGAGTTTCTATAGAATTGTAGGACTTCTTAAATTTTTTGGGATTTAAAATGCTAGTTTCTTTTTGTCTTATTTTAATTTTAAAAAAATCTTTCTTTATTGATTATATTATCATTAATTTTTGTCCACATTTTGTATTTGCGCTTATTTAATACATTTTAGGATGAACTTTTATCATTAAGATATAATATATACAAAAAAAAATTCAAAAACATTTTAGAGGTATATATAGCTGTTAAAACGTTTTAAAAAAACTCGCCAAAGTTTATTGATAATATTGAGAAATATTGTTAAACATTAAGCTACGTATACCATGATTATCAGCAATAAACCAAAATATTTCCGCAAATGAGCGATAAAACAGACATTTGTCGATTAATAAGAAATAATTACAATAGAATATACAGCATTTAAACAAAGCACATAAAATTGATAGCTTCCTGATTTCCCATGGCTTTATATATATATTTTTTGCCACTTACCCAGGTCCCACTGTATGGTATCTTTTGGTGCCTGTTAAGTCTTTTGTTCGGCTTTATTGACATCAATCAGTGGCAGTTTGAGCAGATCTAGCCGTATCTAAATAGTATTCAGCCCATTCCAATTTGTTGGGGACGTGAATCGAAGCTGTCAGCTGAATTTTAATGGAGCCCAAATGAATGGGATGGATGGCGATTGGATGGGGCTTGGGATGGTATTGCTGGGCTGGATGGACAATGCCAGGTGCTGTGCTCCATGGCACTTGGCTGATTTTTGGCGCGCTGGACTTCCACGTAACCAGATAGTGGAGGTGGCAGTTGTACTCCTATCTAGATGGGCGCATATCTGCATAAATTGAAAACAAAAAGGGCCAAAAAACAAGGAGAACTACACATTTTTTCTTCTTCTTTTTTTTTCCTGTGGTTTCAGTTTGGAAATTTCAGACAGGATCGTTGGTGTTCGGGGTCGCCGACCATCCCACATCCATCCATGTGCATATGTGCCCTGTGTGTGTGTGTGTGTTTTTCCCGTATTTTATATAGGTATCTCTTAGATCTCGAAGAAATTTGAATATAATTTATGTGCAATCGTCGCTTTTTTCCGCTCGCTGGCCGCCTGTTCGTGAAGTCCGGTTCGGTTTGGTTCCCCCACTGAACCGAAATGAACCGAAATGAAGAACGATCCATCCATCTAAACGTTTGTCACTTGCTCCGTTGTCGCCGCCACGTTTGTCTTCTCGCTGCTCCGCCAGCTCTGCTCCTTCGTCGTCGCGTCATCGTCTCTTTTGTCTTAGTTGCCTGGGTCCCGGGTCTCTATACCCACACCCATCCAAACTTATACTTATACTTATACCATCCCGATCCGATCCCAATCCCAAGCCCAAACCCAAACCCAAACCCAAACCCATCCTCGTCCGTTCAGCAACCATCATCGCAGTCGTTTATTCTGCCGGTACATATACATATTTCAGGCTGTCCAGCTGAGTTGGGCCAACCAATTCCGGGAAAGAGAGACAAGTAGGCTAGAGCCAGTTTATAACATCATCTATCAAGATCTAAGAAACCTATGCTGTAATCAGCTAAGCCAAAGAAGCGCTAGAAAACTAGATCAGCTAATAAATAGATGGCAAATACTTAAGCATTTGTCTAATTGGTTATGCCAAAAATAACATGTGTGCTGACCCTTTTTTTTTTTTTTATTTCATAGCACTTACGAATGGTCTTTTTCCAATATTTATTTCTTTATCGAAAATGCTATTTAAGCCGCACCGTTTTTTTAAGATATATGTTTTTATTTATTTTATTGAGATATTTTATTATAACAATTATTATTACAAAATATTAAGACTTTAAGAGTGTCGAGTTAGTATGATACTTTACTAAATGAGTAAATCATTAACTTATATGTATGTTTTATATCTAATTCATTTATCAATATAATCCTCTTACAATATTTAGATCTTTACCGAAAATGATATTTAAGCCGTATAGTTGGAAAATGGCATATAAGTAGGTAAACTGATATTTAAAAAATAATTTTAAGAATCTCGAAATTCAGACCTTAAAGCTTTTTGTAATTCCCAATCTGTTTAAAGGCTTTGGGCATTGGCGGTGCCAACAGTGCTATTCCCATCGCATGTCGCTGCAAAGCAGAAACGTGTGATGAATCAATAAGCGGACTGCATCGATTCTGGATTCTCGATGCCCGATTCTCGATTCTCTTGATTCCCGATCCTGGTGCAGTGGTAAGCGGATTTGCGTTTATGGCCATTAACCCGGCGCTGGTGCGTGTGTGGCTCTCCTCGCTGATCTGCACCGGAGGATCGGGGGATATGACGGCAGATGACGACGGATGATGACGGACCGCTGCTTTTTGCTTAAGTCCGGCTGACATTTGACTACTTTATTGAATTATGACAGCGAACAAATCAGCGACACGATCCGCGAGTGAGGAGTGCATCCGCTCATCATCGATTCTCCATACTCTGTAAGACCCATTTGGATTGGCTTTTTGCTGCACTCATTGCGCATGCGCCACCGTGGCCCAAGGTTTTTGAGTTTTGAGTTACTCCACTGCACTCTACAAAAAATAGCTGCGTTTTTTGCTGAAAAACATCAATTGTTAAGGAGCACATAATATGTTAATTATAGCTGATCTCTATATTCGATATGAATGAAAATACTTAAAAACTTGGGCAATTTTGTTAAAGAAAACAAAGCAAAAATATGTTTTCTTCAATCAAAATGTTTTAAATTAAACTTTAATAGGTAACAGTTTTCAGTTCATACAAAAATCGAAATATATTCAAAATGATGAGAACTTTATCTAACCAAAAAGATTAAAAGAAATTTGAAACTTTTATGCAAAATTTAATAGCGACCAGACAGTTTTAAATAATAGCTTGTCCCTAAAAAGAAAAAAATGTTGGTTTTTTTCTAGTAAAGAAATTATATTGTAAAATTTGGAAGAATATAATTTTACAAATTTTTAGAGTGTTCTTAACTGTAACATTTAAATTGAATAAGGCTTTTTCCTTTGAAGTAAGGGAATGCTTGGCTATTTGATGGATACTAAAGACTAAAACTACTATTTAAAGAAAGCCATATTTTCTTCGAGTGTCCAATCCATCGCAATATGGACTGGGACATGTGTTCCGCCGTCATCTGATTGGAATATTAATTGTGACGAATGCAACCGAGGAGATCTTTGGCCGTCCTACGATCTTGTCGACAAGTGCACGCGATGGCGATGGCGATGACTGAACTGAAGGCCCACTGATGTCATTTTACTTAACATTAATTTCAAATAATATCATAATTTATCGTTACAACAGGGCAGGAGGATCGGCAATGGGCCCTTGAGGCGATGCGATTTTCATTTCAGACACGTACTGGGGAATCGATCTCAATTTCGTAGTTCA